GACTCTACCACTTACTGGCTAGGCTTCTAAGGGCTAATTTAAACCCTTCTTTGCTTTGTTTCGTTATCTGTTTAACAGTAATAGTACCCATCTCACAGGGTTATTCTGAGCATTAAATAAGATGGTTCATGTTGAACCACGCACTGCCTAGCGGTAGTTTTTCAGGTGCCAAGACTGTCTCAGAGGTAATGAGGCTTATTTATGAGCAGTGACTAATAAACTAGATTGCTACTCTAAGAACTTGTGGGGACTTCCAAGTCACTTACAGAAACTCTTAAGTGGAACAGATCTGTGCTCTGGATTCTCTGTAGCTTGCCTGTTTCCAAAACATTATAGAGTTTCTCAGGTTTTTCTTACCTTACTGTGTACCACCTGTATTAAGGAACAGTTCGTGGATTCTGTTCTTGGTATCACTGCTTATGGTGTTGGCTACTGGATGTGTCCCTTTTAGTTTTGGAGTAATTTTTATTCACTGAGGTTGATATTCAGCAAATTAAAGTTTAGATGTTATATAAATTTTAAAAAAAGATTAATTAAATTAACATGATGAAAACGGTTGGGTTTATAAAATATTCTGAAACTCACACCTGCAGATGGCATTGCCCATTTGGATATCAAGTCTACTGAACATAGTGAACCTATGAGTATTTTTCTCTCTAAATGACCAGGGGGATGATCTGTCCTGCACACACAGCATCTAGCCAGTCCTGGACACATACTAATTGACTTAACTTAAAATGTATGTAAACTTTTTAAATTTAAAAACTTTGCTGCATATGAACCTGCCTCTTTGGACTCTGTTGGTTTCCGTTTATAAGTGAACTGCTCACTGAGAGGTTCTTTAGGGCTGTGATCAGAATGAGAAGAATGGTGCCTTCAGCAACTGACCTGGGAGTATAGAATTTTGCCTGGTGAACTACATTAACTAGAAGGGAATATAGAAATAAAGAAGTATAAATTACAAGACTGACATCTCTTTTTATAGGGCTGTGAACAATTCTAATTATGGTTGGAGAGCCCTGAGACTATTAGCACGGAGAAGCCCTCACTTCTTTCAGCCAACCAACCAGCAGTTTAAAAGTTTGCCAGAATATCTCGAAAACATGGTAATAAAGCTAGCCAAGGAATTACCAGTAAGTAACACATCAATTTTTACATCCTTTAGTTTGCGTTACCTTCTTTTTTTAAACTGCTATTGCTGTTTGAGCTAAGAGCTGAATTTAGCCTTTATCATGTGGGAGAGAAAAAAATCCATAAACCCCCTTGTTGAAAAAAAAATCCATAAACCCCCTTGTTTAGAATGAGAAAAAAATGCATTTGGGTATACATTTATAGGAAGTACATAAATAGATAAAGTAACTTTATATAAAGATTAACTTATTATACTTTAACTTATTTTTTCTGTGTGCCAATGCATTATATTTTATCAAAGGTAGGGCCCATGGGGTAGTGTGGTAGGCAGCTTGGCCTATCTTTCTACTCTTTTCCAATACAATATGGTAATAACTATACTGTATGCATAAATCTGAATAAAATTACTCAAAAAAAGTGTTAAGAACATGGTTGCTCCCCCAGTCTTCCCTAGACCATCGTTACCATATGCTGAGTACTTACAAGTCATCTTACCATACTTCTTACTGGCTCCCTTCTTCCCAGGTTGGAATAAGAGTCTTTCCAACCTTCAGTCTTCCCCGCCTACCCCTCCTTCTCCAGGTTAACACTGTCCCACTGCGATCCTTACCTGACATTCACATTTAACACTCTCAAGGGTAAAGTTCTGGGCCCCGTAATTGGAATCTCATACCTAAATAGAAAGTATGCCCAGTTATCTGGTTTTAGAAGTTGGCATTCTTTTAAACCATTCTTTTACTCATTTTAGCCTCCTTCTGAAGAAATAAAAACAGGTGAGGATGAAGATGAGGAAGATAATGATGCTTTACTGAAGGAAAATGAAAGTAAGAATTGAATTTTCTTGGCTATTTTACAAAATTGGAAAAGATTGGGGTTCTTTGTTGAGAGGTACGTTATTTGATCTACTTCTCAACTTCTACCATCTTTCTCAGCTGTTTCTTATAGTGAGGAATCTAAAACATTGCTTGATAATTTTTAAAATAGTACCTTTTATACAGTAAAATTTGGAAGTGTTGGGAAGAAAAGTACTTACATTTGAAGGCAACTCATATCTCTGTTAATTCTTGGGGTTTAGATTGGGGGCCGCTGGTTTCAGAAGCCTTCCTAATTATAAATAGAGGCAACAGCTTTAGGTTTGATTGAGTCCCTAATGATCATAAGAATGGTAATTCAACCCGTGGAAAGTACAAAAAGGAACTGTTTTACTTTTAAAATAAAGCTTATTAAAGGTGAATAATATCTCAGTGGCCCCATATTCCGTTTTATATTTTGAATCGTACACATCCTCGTACATTGTTCATAATTTATGTTTCCTGTGTTTTCTAGGTCCTGATGTTCGGCGAGACAAACCTGTAACAGGGGACCAAATAGAGGTATTTGCCAACAAACTGGGTGAACAATGGAAGATTCTGGCCCCCTACTTGGAAATGAAAGACTCAGAAATTAGACAGATTGAGTGTGACAGTGAAGACATGAAGATGAGAGCTAAGCAGCTGCTAGTCGCCTGGCAGGATCAGGAGGGAGTGCACGCGACACCTGAGAACCTGATCAGTGCACTCAACAAGTCAGGGTTAAGTGACCTTGCAGAAAGTCTAACTAATGACAGTGAGACAAATAGTTAGCTTTTTTTTTTATTATTAAAACTGTGATAAGCTTTTGTTACCAAGCAGCATTTGATAAGAGGTTCACTGGTTTTGGTAAACAATAAACATTTTTATAACAGTTGTACAGTTGGCTGGTGCTCCAAGAACAACAGAATGCATGGTGCCTCTTGATGACTGACCTCAGGGTCTGGGGGGACAAGGGGGTAGGTTGGGGAAATGGCCAAAGTAAAGTGACCTCAGGGTCACATAATATTTTTGTTAATTAAACATTTATAAAGTCAGTAAGCAATATTTAGGGGCATGGTGTTTCCTAAGATACCCTATGCCAAACTGGTTTCCTGCATTCCATTAGCAGTTATAGAATTTAACTTGCTATCCTGAACATCCCACAGTAATACTTTCTGAAACTATATGACTGCTCTAGTCTCATCTATGCTTTAAAGCAGAGGATCAGCAAACAATGGTCCGTTTGTCACCTCTTTTTATAAGTAAAATTTTAATGGTACACAGCCATGCTGGTTCTTTTAAGTACTGTCTATGGCTCCTTTCATGCTACAACAGCAAAGTTACATAGTTGCAATGAAGACTTATGGCCTGCAAAGCTTAAAACATATTTTTAAAATACCTGGCCCATGGCAGAAAATATTCTCCAACCCCCAACTTTAAAAGAAATGGGGTGAAGTCTAAAACGTAGTTCATTTAGCCTTAGAGAACTTATTTTAAGCTCTCAAGTCATTAAAATAGGGGTACATACCTCAGGGATTGTTGTGAAGTTCAAATGAGATGTATGTGAAAGCATCCTACAAACAGCAAAGCACTATGTAGTCATCATGGCTGGAGACAGTTTCCATTCCCACGTAAGTTACCCTTTAGGGCGCTACGGTCATTGTTTTGAATATGGAAGGAGGGCTAAGTACCTGTCACTAAAAATATTCTTGCTGGGGCTTCACCTCACTCACTAGTCCAATAGTGATCCAGCGCAGCTCTAATATCAAAAGGGCCTCAGTGCGAGGGGCACAGCACATAAGGCACACTCAGGAATCAATCAAGACATTTTCTTGCTTATTCTCTCTTTTCAAAGATCTTATATGAAAGGCTGAATTCTAAAATAGCCTAAATAGTTTAAAACAATAGTATAAGTCCAATTTCTTATACTTTATAATGCTTTTCTGGATCAAATAAAATGAAGTGTTTTGTAATGACAGTTAAGGAATTATAATTTAAAATGCTAATTCCATACAAGGCTTATATACTTTGTTCTAACCCTACCTGATCTAGTAGCTACAGCATCCTCCAAATCGTAAAATCTGAATTCTAATTCCTAAATTGGTGTCCTCAAAATTGTTCAGAACAAAATTAGTGAATAAAAAAACTTCACAAATTTACAAGCATCACACCAATATATAAAAGAATCATTACAATTCTTATGGTCTCATCCTCCCTATTCTATTCTATACCACCTCCAAGGCAAAAGGAGTACTGATTGCCAATTATTAAAGCTTAGCTGAAGAAGCTATTTACAAATAAATTTTCCTGAAATGCTTATTTTATCCCCTAGTGTTCTTAGATTATATTACATTGTTCAAACTTGAGAGGAAATGGCCACTATTCTCTAAGAATCTAATAGTTATCACTACTATGCTCTGCAGAGCATTAAAACAGCATAAGCAAAGATGAGATTTCACGATAATCCCCAGAACTTTATGATAAATATCTAACTCAAAGGAAATCAGACAAGTCAGCTGATACTCTATCCTTTTGCAACCAAGCAAGGCTCCTAAAACAAAAATGAATTGACTAGAGTATTAAAATGGAAGAAACATACCATATATTGAGATATCTCATACTCTGGTATTTCTACCATCACTTTAAAAATCATTGGTACTAAATTTTGATAGACATTAAGAATTTGGACAAGGGAGTTGTCCAAAGTTGACAAGGGAGTAGAAATAAACACCCAACTGAGCCAAGGAACAGATCTGATAACATGGTTGCATTCAGCATCCAAAGAACTCCCTTACTTTTACAACTCTATTCCTTTTTAAACAATATTATGCTAGCAGGCAAAGACTATTTTTAAATGGATGCTTAAGAGCCTAGTTAAACGAACCATCTGCAGAAACTGTAATAGTAGTAAACATATCTGAACTTCAGCCAAGCTCCAACACTCAACAGACAAAAGACTTGAGGTCAAACGCTGTTAGTCCCTCTTTGTTTTGTTTTTTTATTAAATATCCTAATTTTCTAAAAATAAGCAACCGGAGCTTGTCAACATTATTTTTAAGGTTGATTACTACAAAACCATTGCAAAGTTAAATGTACAAACCTAGTACATCAGAGACACAGTAATAAATGTATAATCAAATGTACTATTATTGATCACAATTTATTTTAAAGTCATGAAAAGCCAGCAACAGTCAGGCTGGACAAATACTTGATTGTACCCATGTTTCCATGGGATGGGGACAGCAGCACTGAGTTACACAATGAGATCAACACTTAACTTCCTTTCCACCGTCCTGGCAAAATTTTTGTTAGATAATGCAAAGGATGGGCAGCTACTGAATCACTGGTGGTTTGAACCATGCAAAAACAACAAATAATAGAGTAATAGGTGTGCAATAAACATCTGATTGCTGAATCTTGGGCTGAAAAAGGAAGAAAAATTATCACAGAAGGTAATGGTTGAAAGGCATTTCAACTCATAATTTTTAAAAATTAATCCAAGAAATAAGCTTTTTAAAAATGTCTTCCTGTCACTTTTATATAGGGCAGCACAGTCCAAAGGCAATTTTCTCTTTTCTGTTATTCTTTAGGTCGATAACACAGAGTGGTCTGCTTCTGCCCTCTTTTGTTCCACATGAGGGGAAACATGTAAAACCACCTAAAAATCTTCCTTTAAAGCTCTGGGTTATAGAAATGATCAACAAACAACATTTATTTCACACCTAAGCATAAATAGCTAAAATGAAGATTACTGTTCACTTTCCTCTTCCATTATTTCAATTCTGCGAGGCCCATAGAGTAGAACATAAGCTATATGCCAGTCTCCACCACCAGAAAGCCTCAATATATCCTCTGGTGTCACGATGCTGACCTTATCATCATCAAACTTAATCCATTCATCTAAAGTGCAAAAGAGAAGAATGAAATTAATCTCATATATGATTTTTTCAGAGTTCCATTGCAAAAGAGGTACTGAGTAATTTCATGTACAGTAGTATTCCATCTGCCATACCAACAGTTCTCAAAGAGTGGTCCAGGGACTACTCAGGTTCAAGATCCTTTCAGGGGTTCCATGAAGGTTACAACAATTTTTATAACACTCCTAAAGCATTATTTCCCTTTTCCCCCTCATTCTGTGAAGTGTGCTTTGGAGTTCTCCAGAGGTTACACAATGTGTGATAAAGCAGCAGACTGAAGGCAGAAACAGGAGAATCCAGCTGTCTCCTATTAAGCCTAACAAAACAGACTTAGAAAAATGTAAATCAATATCATTTTTTGCCTTTTTTTGTTTTGGAAAAGATTGTAATTTTTATTTTGAAAATGTTATTTATGTTAATATGTAATGACGTCATTACTGTCAGTTTTAAAAGAATTAACTTCTCAGTTTTAATTTCTATTATAGTAAATATTAAGAGATAATCCTCATAAACGGAAGCTCTCTCGGATCCTCAATAATTTAAGAATGCAAAAGGAGTTCTGAGATCAAAAAGTTTGAGAACAAATGTGCTAAAAATCTAAACAACTTATCAAAATAGTATGGAACAATTTAAAAAAACAGAATCTTTACCTTGTTTCCTTTTCACCCATGATACATAATGACCTGAAGAGCTAGATCTTCCCTGATGTGTTAGCACTGCTTGTAAGTCATAGTATCCACAATTATTGGAGCCAATGTCTAAAGAAAGATGTAAACCCAATAATATTAGAAATGAACAGATATGTACTTTCTCAAGCTAAGTAACAAGCAAGAACTCAAGTTTAGCCTAGAGAAGTACTACTTTATTGTTAAAATCCAATAAGATACTACTGTCCAATTAAAGGTTCATGAAAGATGTTTTAAGAAGTATGCTACCATTCATAGAACATATATTCACTAAAAAGTGATTTTTTTACTATGTCATACTACAGTAAATCATAAGAAACAACTTTTTTTTAAAGCACAGTACCTGAAAAAAACAGATATGTGGAAAGAGTAATTTTACCTTAAAAAAAAAAACACTACACACAGTAAAAGTCAACTGAAATGAAGATTTCACTTACCATCAGCAAAAGAAAAGGGTTCATACTTAACTTCTTTTGGGGGACTACTCTTTTTGTCACTCTGAGGGGAAAAAAATTTTAATTTTAAGTTTTCATGATATTGGAAATAAAATTTATATTCTCAATGAGTATCCATCTCCACAAATATTTACTGTCTATAATGCAAATCACCAAGGCAAGACAAAGAAAAAATATGATCTGCCTTACAAATTGCTCAAATGATACAGCTACAGTTAACATAAAACTGTAAACCCAAAAGTCCTACTCTTTAACAACATACAGTCTCATATGTATAGTAGGAGATCCTGATTACAGAACCAACTTCAAACCACTAAACCTAGAGCACACCAGTGAATACAGAGTACAGATAAACACTGCTCTAGGGTAGAAAAAGAAAACCCAATTCTGCAACTTTTCCAGAATACTATCAAACCATATAGGTGAAGATAAAAGAAAACCTGCCTCAAAAAAACAGAAGTCGAATTACTGCAATTAATATTATATCTACTAAGCCACGGTCACCTGCCACTTCAGCTCAAATGAACTGAAATATTTAATTCAGCAAATATTTACCTACATTAAGAGGCATGATTTACAACTTTAGACAAGGGTCTTCAGTGAGAACTCGCTTGCCTCAACCCATTTCAGTGTGTAATATAAAAACAACTAAGCAGGGGCTTCCCTGGTCATGCAGTGGTTAACAATCTGCCTGCCAACGCAGGGGACACAGGTTCGAGCCCTGGTCCAGGAAGATCCCACATGCCGCGGAGCAACTAAGCCCGTGAGCCACAACTACTGAGCCTGCACTCTAGGGTCTGCGATCCACAACTACCGAAGCCCACGCGCCTAGAGCCCGTGCTCTGCAGCAAGAGAAGCCACCACAATGAGAAGCCCGCGCACCGCAGAGAAGAGTAGCCCCTGCTCGCCACAACTAGAGAAAGCCTGCGTGCAGCAACAAAGACCCAACACAGCCAAAAATAAATTTAAAAAAAAAAAAACTTACTTAGGCATATGGACACAAAGTTCTTGAAGACTATAATGAAAATGAAGACAATGCAAGCAGTTTAAAAGATAGCTAAAGTGACAAGAAGCCAAAGAATCTTACAACAAAGAAAGGCAATTAGGTCAACCATTCCTTTATATATTTTTAACACCTAGAGCAACCCAAAAAAGGCTATACAAAGAAACACATTAAAAAACATTACACATGGGTTTCCCTGGTGGTGCAGTGGTTGGGAATCCGCCTGCCAATGCAGGGGACATGGTTTTGAGCCCTGGTCCGCGAGGATCCCACATGATGTGGAGCAACTAAGCCCATGTGCCACAACTACTGAGCCTACGCTCTAGAGCCCGCGAGCCACAACTACTGAAGCGCGAAAGCCGTAGAGCCCACGCTCCACGACAAGAGAGGCCACTGCAGTGAGAAGCCCGCGCACCACAGCAAGGAGTGGCCCCTGCCTGCCGCAACTAGGGGGAGCCTGTGTGCAGCAACAAAGACCCAATGCAGCCAAAAATAAAACAGATAAATTTTTTAAAAATCAAATTCTTCAAAAAAAATTATAAACTAGAATTCTAAAAAATGTTCATGTAACCTACAAGAAGGGAAAACAGAAACAAAAATCAGAACAAACAGCAAATATAAAATAGATCCAAACACTAACATACTAAGAATTACATGAAATATAAATGGTCTAAATGTACCAATAAAAAGACAGAGGTTAACACAGGATTAAAAAACATGACCCAACTATATGCTGTCTATAAGAAACTACCTTCAAATATAGCATGGGCAAATTTAAAGTAAAAGAATGGAAAAAGGTGTATCATGCAAACATTAACAAAAAGAAAGCAGCAGTGGCAATATTAATATCAGATAAAGTAGACTACAGAACAAAGAAAATGACCACAAACCGAGATGGACACTGCATAATAATCAAAGAATCACTCCACCAAGAAGACAGAGCAATCCTAAATGTGTATGCACCAAATAACAGTTACAAAACATGAAAAGCAAAAAGCTAACAGAACTGAATGAATGGAGAAACATACAAATCCACAATTTTAGTTGAAGACTTCACTACTCCTCTTTCAACAACTGACAGAAAAACAGCAAGGTTACAGGAAAAAGCAACACCACCATCAACCAACTGGATCTAATCAACATCACGGAATACTCCACTCAACAACAGTAAAATACACATTCTTTTCAAGTGCCCATGGAACATTTACCAAGATAGATCACATCCTGAGCCATAAAGCAAACCTCAACAAATTTAAAGGAATTTAAATCACACGAGGGTGTTTTCTCACCACAATCGACTCAAACTAGAATCAGTAACAAAAAGATAACAGGAAATTTTCCAAACATTTGTAAATTAAACAAGACATTTCTAAATGATCCAAGGTCAAAGAGAAGTCTCAAAATTTTTTAAAAATACAAGAAACATAATGAAAATGGAAATGCAATACAATAATTTGTAGGACACAATCTGAAAGCACTGCTAAGAGGAAATTTAGAACACTAAATGCACACATCAGAAAACAGGAAGTCTGAAATAAAAGATCTAAGTTCCCACACCATAAGGACCTAGAAAAAGAGGAGGAAAATAAACCCAAAGCAAGCAGAAAACAAGAAATAATAAGAGTAAAAATCAATAAAACGAGACGCAGAAAAATAGAGAAAAATCAATGAAACGAAATGCTAGTTCTCTGAAAAGAGCAATAAAATTGACAATCCTCTAGCAAGACTGACAGAAAAAAAAGACACAAATTTACAATATCAGGAATGAAACAGGGGACAGATATCGCTACACACCGTGCAAACATCAGAATCATCATCATCCTAGGAACAACTCTGCACGCATAAAATTGACAAGCTAGATGAAATGGATCAATTCCGCAAAACGACAAACTACCAAAACATACCCAATATGAAATAAATTTGAATAGCCCATAACTATAAAGTTGAATTTTTAATTTAAAAACTCCTGAAAAAGGGCTTCCCTGGTGGCACAGTGGTTGAGAGTCCGCCTGCCGATGCAGGGGACACGGGTGCGTGCCCCAGTCTGGGAAGATCCCACATGCCGCGGAGCAGCTAGGCCCGTGAGCCATGGCCGCTGAGCCTGCGCATCCGGAGCCTGTGCTCTGCAACGGGAGAGGCCACAACAGTGAGAGGCCCACGTACCACAAAAAAAAAAAAAAAAAAAACTCCTGAAAAAGAACTCTGCAGGCCAAGACTGTCTGACCAAGACAATTCTACCAAACGTTTAAAAGAGAACTAACACCAATTCTACACAATCTCTTTCAAAAAAAATAAGAGAAAAAAACAGCTAATAAACCAATTCAGGAGAGTAGAGGATGTAAGATCAATATACAAAAATCAACTGCAATGAATGCAAAAATGAAATTTTTAAAAACTATGCCATTTACAAAAACATCAAAAAGAATAAAATAGTTACAAATAAATTTAACCAAAGTACAAGAAGTGGACTTTCCTGGTGGCTCAGTGGTTAACAATCTGCCTGCCAATGCAGGGGACACGGATTCGAGCCCTAGTCTGGGAAGATCTCACATGCCGTGGAGCAACTAGGCCCGTGCGCCACAACTACTGAGCCTGCACTCTGGAGCCCGCGAGCCACAACTACTGAAGCCCACACGCCACAACTACTGAGCCTGTGAGCCACAACTGCTGAAGCCTGCACGCCTAGAGCCCATGCTCCGCAACAAGAAAAGTCACCACAACGAGAAGCCTGCACATCACACAAAGAAGAGCCCCCAGTCACCGCACACGACCAGAGAAAGCCTGCACCAGCAACAAAGACCCAACACAGCCAAAAAGTAATTATTTTTTTTAAAAAAAGAAGGGGGTAGGGGGAAAGGAGAGTGGATTTGGCTACAAAGGGGCAGCATAAGGGATCGTTGTGGTAGAGGAAATGTACTGCATCTAGACTACATCAAAGTCAGTATCCTGGTTGTGATATTGTATTACAGCTTTGCAAGATGTTACCACTAGGAGAAACTGGGTAAAAGGTACTCAGGAGCTCTATTATTTCCTATAACTTCATGTGATTCTACAATTATCTCAAAATAAAGTTTAATTTTTTTAAAATTGCTTTTAACACACACACACAGTAACCTGCAGAAGAATTTAATTTTAAAATTTGGTATATAATATCACACTGGAAATATTCCTATTTACCAGGAAATATCTTTTTCCTTTTGAAGAAAACAATCCAACATATAATTCAGCTGTCCCTTCTCTGAATTTAAAATATACAATTTATTAAATATATAAAGTTGCTAAGGTTATAATTTTAACAGTTATAGGTGCTTGTTAAAAGATATGACTTAAGTTGTCACAGTGGGCATAATGAAGCAATATTCGATAACACTAACTCCATTTTAAAAAATGGAGATGCCTCACAAGGAAAAAAATAAAATACTCTGAATTTTACAAGGCAAGATTTTACGTGAAGTGCTTTGAGGAAATAAATATTGATATAAAAGGAATATAAGCTGAAGATTTTTATGGGAAAAGAAAATATTAAGTTTATTCTACCACAAAGGACCCATTTAGCATAGCTAGAGTTCTTTTTCTTATGCTAAAACACACCTAAAACTTTAAGGGCTTGCACCACTATCTGCAAGATTTGTATATATGCTAAACACAGGTTCATCCATTTTTACTAATAGGTTAACAATATAAAATGAATACTGGACACAGATTAAAGGTAAACATATTAAGATTAGAAAATGACCAATAAGAACCTACTGTCTTTGGCTGATGATTTACTTTTTTATCTTCCAGATCCTTGAATTTTGATCGAAAAGAAATCATTTTCTCTTGAAGTTCTGGTGTACACAGTTCGTACACATCCAACATAAGAGGAAATTTAACATCCTATATACAAACCAAAAGGAAAAGGGTAAACAGACTTATAAAGGTAGTTATTTAAAATATTTATCACACTTTTTAAAGTACTGCTTTCATATTCAAATAAAGTTGAAAATAAGAACTGTAAAAATCACGTGGAAATCTATGCATTTGAAAATATGTTTATTTTCAATCTGGTCCTAACTTTTTTTTTTTTTTTTTTTTTGCGGTACGCAGGCCTCTCACTGTTGTGGCCTCTCCCATTGCGGAGCACAGGCTCCGGACGCGCAGGCTCAGCGGCCATGGCTCACGGGCCTAGCCGCTCTGCGGCATGCGGGATCCTCCCGTACCAGGGCACGAACCCGTGTCCCCTGCACCGGCAGGTGGACTCTCAACCAGTGTGCCACCAGGGAAGCCCGTAGTCCTAACTTTAAGATAAAAAATTTTTAACTTTTCCATTAAACATTTTAACCCATGAAACTGACCGCAGAGGAGTTACCAAAAACTTAAACAACAGGGACTTCCCTGGTGGCCCAGTGGTTAAGAATCCACCTCCCAATACAGGGGACACGGGTTCAATCCCTGGTAAGGGAACTAAGATCCCATATGCCACGGAGCAACTAAGCCTGCGTGCTCTAGAGCCCACGCACAACTAGATAGCCCATGTGCCACAACTACTGAGCCCATGTGCTCTGGAGCCCCACACACCACAACTAGAGAGCCCACATGCTGCAATTACTGAGGCTGTGCGCTCTGCAGCCCGTGCGCCACAACTAGAGAGCCCGAGTGCTGCAACTACTGAGCCCACATGCTCTAGGGCCCACGTGCCACTAGAGAGAAGCCCGCATGCTGCAAAGAGCCCATGCGCCACAACGAAAGATCCCGCATGCCGCAATGAAGATCCCGTGTGCTGCAACTAAGACCCAACGCAGCCAAATAAGTTTTTTTTTTAATTTAAACAATAAAAGAAGCATTTCAGAAATATTAGACTAGCAGATACTTCAACTACATTTAACCTGTTCATATGACCCTAAGTATATCTGAAAATGTATTATAAATTTCAGCTCAAGAGGCTAAAATTATATATACCTCTCCCAAGGATCAGACTCTATGGATGCACAGCAGAGCTACAGTTCAACAAAACAGATAAATCATAAGGTTAGCTCTGACATCAAACGATTACAATTTAAGTATTCCTTGGGCACCAGTAATTTAACACTCTCCTTTCACCTGGAAGAAAGGAACCGCCTAGAATAGAGTGTGCTATATTGCCCCTTGCCCCACTCCCATCCCCAAACCTACTGGACTAGTATCTCTGGAATTGAGGATCTGGTCTAGGGCAATATTTCTGGGGAATGGAGGGCATCCATCAGAATTACCTGGGAATCTTTTGAAAAATGTAAGACCTACTAAGGCCCCACTTAATCAGATGCTTGGTGGCAGTTGAGGGGCAGGCGTGTGTATGATTTAAAATAAAAAGGACAATAGATAATTCCAATATATATTCTTGATTAAGAACCACTTGTCTAATGTTAATAACTTCCCTATTTATAGTATTTTAAAGTGAGTTTATCCCTAAAAGAATAAAGAAACCTATTGTAAGTTATGAATTACCTTCAAAGAATTACAATAATTCATTATAGTAAAGTTCGTTACTAACCTTAAGAACTTTGGCATTCACAGATTCCTTCTCTTTATAAAAAAATCGAACCATCTGAATAGTCAAGTAAGCAGGCAACCGGCTGATCTTGGACTGAGGAGACAAAGTGGAAAGAAATTCTGTAACATACAAATACCACACAAATTTTTAATTCCTCAGTTTGGTAAAAACAAAGACTGGGTAACATTAATTAGCTGGAAACCTTTCTAGTAAATGGAACTGGATTCCAAAACTTACAGATTTGATGTACAAAGCATTTCTTTGCAATGTTGGAGACTGTTTGGTGATTTCTTCCTGAAGTCGCTAAAAAAGAACATAACAGAAGTCCAAACATTAAAGAATTTTCTTCTGCAATACAGTTATTTATTTAATTCTTTTAAAAATTATCAGCACTACTAATTAATAGACAACACACAGGACGTCAACGGATTTATACCCCTGAGAAATAATTTGAATGAAGACAATGTGGGAAGGCTTTTAGATATGGTTCAGTTCTTAAAAGGCATCAATTTTTACTGGCATGAACTCCTCAGAATGTAAATATTTGAAGTCTTTTAATTATAACCCAAATGCTCAGATTCTGAGAGTTTATACTGTATTTTATACAACCTAAGGAAGCCTTTCATGGTATTCCTCTACTTATGGATCAACAGAATATTCATATTAGAAGAAAATTAAGAGAATACAGATAATCCTTGTTCTTTACGCTTTATTTAGCAAAGCCTTCCAGAACAATCAGTTATTGTTAAATCTGAGAAAAGTCGTAACACAGAAAACCTCTGTTAATCTAATAAATGTGGGAAAGCCTTTAGCCATTATATCTTATAACCATCATGGCTGCCATTCCACTCCTTACAGCCTGTGTGACACTGAGCAAGACAGTTATCCCTCTGGGCATCATCTGTAAATGGTGCATGATCTGTAAATGGTGCTAACAGCATTTAACGTGACAGTGCTGTTGTTAGAATTACATGAGTTTGTACATGGAGAAAACTTGGAGAACTATTTGGTATATATTCTATGTTCAACAAGCATGTTACACTTGTATAAAAATTGTTTCAGGTTTGATTTTTTAAAATTACTAATTACAAAAGAAAGCACCATGGAGTAGCTTTTTAACATTTAACCAAGTTTATCTGGCAACAAAGAGGTAAAGAAATGTGGAGCAAAATTACTCAAAAATAAAACGAATGATAAGAAATCTAAAAAATTACCAAGACAACAAATACAACATCTCATTAATACATGTTATTAAAGAAAGGATATATGGTACAATGTTACTCATCAGATAAGCTACATATCATTATCATCAATTCATGATCATCTAGAAGTTCCAGGTATACTTAGTTTTCCTGGAATTTTATAAAATTACGAAGAATACACCCTGGAGAGTCCCTGCTGAAACATTCTATACCACACTCTCCAATTAACATTTACATCATATTTTGATGCCCCAAAACTTGCATCATAATTTTTTATAGGACTTGGGGTGGTAAGCTAGTATCTGTATGCTTTTATTTTTATTTTTACTTTTTTTTTTAACATCTTTATTTGAGTATACAATGGTGTGTTAGTTTCTGCTTATAATAAAGTGAATCAGCTATACATATACATATATCTCCATATCTCCTCCCTCTTGCTTCTCCCTCCCATCCTCCCTATGCCACCCCTCTAGGTGGTGACAAAGCACCGAGCTGATCTCTCTGTGCCGTGTGGCTGCTTCCCACTAGCTATCTGTTTTACATTTGGTACTGTATATGTCCATGCCACTCTCTCACTTCTTCCCAGCTTACCCTTCCCCCTCACCTTGTCCTCAAGTCCATTCTCTACGTCTGCATCTTCATTCCTGTCCTGCCCCTAGGTTCTTCAGAACCATTTCTTTCCCTTAGATTCCATATATATGTGTTAGCATATGGTATTTGTTTTTCTCTTTCTGACTCACTTCACTCTGTATGACAGATTCTAGGTCCATCCACCTCACTACAAATAACTCAATTTCTTTTCTTTTTATGGCTGAGTAATATTCCATTGTATGTATGTGCCACATCTTCTTTATCCAGTCATCTGTCGATGGACACTTAGGTTGCTTCCATGTCCTGGCTATTGTAAATAGAGCTGCAATGAACATTGTGGTACATGACCCTTTTTGAATTATGGTTTTCTCAGGGTATATGCCCAGTAGTGAGACTGCTGGGTGGTATGGTAACTCCGTTTTTAGTTTTTTAAGGAACCTCCATATGGTTCTCCATAGTGGCTGTATCAATTTACATTCCCACCAACAGTGCAAGAGGGCTCCCTTTTCTCCACACCCTCTCCAGCATTTATTGTTTGTAGATTTTTTGATGATGGGCATTCTGACTTATAATGAGGTGATACCTCATTGTAGTTGTGATTTGCATTTCTCTAATGATTAGTGATGTTGAGCATCCTTTCATGTGTTTGTTGGCAGTCTGTATATCTTCTTTGGAGAAATGTTTATTTAGGTCTTCTGCCCATTTTTGGATTGGGTTGTTTTTTTGATATTGAGCTGCATGAGCTGCTTGTAAATTTTGGAGATTACTCCTTTGTCAGTTGCTTCATTTGCA